TTTCAAGAAGATAAAAAGACTGTCCAAAAGCAGAAGTCCTCAGAATACCAAGAAAATGTCTAAAATCGTTTTCCATTTGAGAAAAGCCTGGTATACCCTAGTACAGCACTGTGATATTGCCTCCATGTCTATCCTTCATCCCTCCATTCCTCTAGCTGCACATCTAAAAAGGACAAAGTCAACATGAAACTTTGGAGGGTGGACTGCAGCAAAGATTAAAACACACAATACCATAACTGCTGTCCAAGACTTTCAAATGTATGTTTGCCTTACAGAAATACCCATGAACAGAGCAGAAGACAATTAGTGACTACTTACTTATTCCAACACCCTTCTGAGGTTGACTAGTTCTTAGCTCTCCATAAAGAGAAGATGTCTAAATAAATGAAGGTAGATCTATAGGGATATTATATTGTCATAGTAATATCATCTCAAGTAGTAGTATACATATTATATAGTATAGTTGGATATACCTTAGAGATGGGCTACATGGGTTTAAATACTAGGTTCTGTTACTTACCAGATATAGCATTGAACAAGTTACCTAAATTTTCTGGAGCTTCGGTTTCTTCAGTGAAGATAACAATAGTATACCTGTCTCTTAGAACTGCTGAGAGACTTAACTGAGATAATGCATATTAATTATTAGAATGGTGCCTAGCACATGGTAATCACTCAATTTTAAAACTGTCATTGGGTTTTAAAAGTTATAATCCTATGTAATACTAGAGAGAGAAGAATAAAGTAACCTACCTATACATATATTAGTTGGTAAGACTCTCTAGTGCACATGATAAAATAAAAACAACATTAAGGGCATTCCAGTATTTAATCTTCTAACTCTTTGAGTTTTTAATGGAAAAAAAAAACCACTGTAAGTTTTCTACAGGGATAAAAGAATATATATGGATAATAGAAGTAAATAGCATTGATTGAGGCACTGATCCAAAAGAACTGTCTCTTTATTTGGTTTTTATATAGATGGATGGATGAAGAAATGCTAGATGATAGAAGACAAACAAAAAGAGATAGCTCAATGCTAGATACAAGACACTAGACAGATAATAGGTATACAGGTGGATAGAAATGAATGGACGATTGACACATAGAAAGATGAACATAAAATATACTCATCATCATAACTTTAAATTTAAAAGAATGAATACAAAGGGTCTGAAAAGGTATAAATTACTTGTGTCCTTTCATAATGAGGAGAGTGAAGACTAAAGGGACCCACTAAATGCCTAAAATACAAAGCCAACAAGACCCTGGGGAGGATTTGAGCCCAGCTGTGCCCTTCCCAAGGCCCTTCCCCATCCCACACTGCCTCTTGAGACCACCCAGGAGTTGGATGTGACAAAGGTAGGAAGAAGGGGCCTTCATGTCTATAGAGGTTAAAGTGGCAAAAGGCAAAAGTGACTAGAATTGTACTGTTTTGTTTCTCATTAATGAACCTGTTGGAATGTGTCATTCAGCAGCTTAGCTCAATGGGTCCTGCTGTTCCAGCACAACCAGAGCCACTTCCCAGCCATGTTCTAGTCTTGTCTGCCAGGGACTGGGAAAGGGACAGGGCAGTCAGACGGCACCTACTGCATCCACCAGGAACCCAGTCTGGCTCATGCCTCATTCATCCACCTCCCTTGTGAATCCCTAACTGTTTCCCACAAGCATCCTGAAAGTTTGGTTTGTATTAGCCTCACTCCTCGATGACCTCAGTGACACACAGACAGTCACTTTTTCAAATTGTCCTGGTTCTAAAAACTGGAAAGATAAGGAATTTCCTTGTTTTTTTTTTTTTTTTTTTTTCTGTTGTTTCTGTTATAAAACTATATAATCAGTTCTTCCTTGGCAAACATGATACTTAGTTAAAACCTCTGGCCATTTTAGCTGCCTCCAAAGTTCTGAGAAAAAAACTTTCCTAATCTAGACAAAAACAACTTCTCTTTTGATTCTAGGAACAGATGCCTGCCTTAGGATGCCAAGGGGTCAAGGAGAATTGGAGAGTATCATAACTGTGACTGAATGCATTCCTCACCACTGCTGGGTGGCCTTGCATAAGCATAACCTCATTTATCCTTAGTATTTTCCATCTGAGAAATGTATGCAATACCTACACTTGATATTGCTGTGGAGTTAAGGTAACATCTTTGGAGTGCTTGCACACCAGTGCAGATCTGAAGCTTCCTTCCCTTTCTTCCCCTTGCCCAACAACATTCCTTCTCTGGCCAGGCTTGCCAAGATGCTATTAGCCTTGGTACACATGGTATGAACACTTACACACACACACACACACACACACACACACACACACACACACACACTCTCTCTCTCTCTCTCTCTCTCTGTCTCTGTCTCTCTCTCTCTCTCTCTCCAATTTCCAGAATGCTCTGAGTGTTTTACCCATCCTTTCCTGATCTAATGCTGCCAGAGCATGATCTGTCTGGCCAGGGCTGCCTTCTTCATTCCCAGCACCCACCCCTGTCCCTTCAGAGTCAAGGTTTTGAAGGAGTTTCAGGGGCAATGACTGGTACAGAGAGGGCCCCAAATGAGGTGACTGCTGCCAAGTCCCTTTCTTTGCCCTACCGTGTATCTGATAAGCCTGCATGTAAGTTTATTCTTCTAAACACTTTGATAGGGTGCAGGACCTGCAGTTGCCATAGAAACCCCTTTTAACTCCTCTTCACCCAGAAGGTTGTGCCAGTCCCCTGGGCTTTGGAGAAGAAAGGGATAAAGAGACAGGAGAGGGAAGGCCATTGTGGGATGGTGACGGGGGCTTAGCAAAGGCTAAGCTAGGCATGCTGTGCCCTTCTCTCTGGAAACATGGCATCTGGCCAGGATGAGAATCCATGCAGGAAGCTTCTAGAAGAGGCTGGTGGCAGGCTAGCTTGAGCACACTTAGGGGGCTCCAGTGTCCAGAGGACAGTTGGGAGCCACCTACTGGAGGCCCCATGGTAACTGCTGCTGTTAGGCAGCAGGTCAACAAGCCAGCAGGCCCACACCCACACCTCCCATTTTTAAAAGCATTATCTCATCCCTTGTGCAGTGCACCAAACTAAGGGCCCAGTGAATCTGGATAGCTGCCAGAGAAAATTCTCTCTCTCTCTCTCTCTCTCTCTCTCTCTCTCTCTCTCTCTCTCTCTCTCTCTCTCTGTCTTTCTCTCTCTGCTACTACATAGTTCTGGGTTTGGCATATTTCTTAGTAAGTTAACTTTTCTCTAGAAGTGTATGAAGAGGAAGAAGCTGCTACTTGAGTAAATCCATAGAAATTACAAGAAACTCCATCAGTTCCCACATACAGTAGGGCCCTTATAGAAGCAATGGGCTGATTCCAGGAGAGCCCACTGGGAGCAAGATCTACTGGCTCATTCCTGTTGCCACTTTCCCACAAACTTCAGGGTAAGAACCCCAGGGCAATAGGCACCTGAGATAGAGATGTGATTCCCTGGCTCCCCTACACACACTACAAAACCAAACTGAACACACCTAGCCCATTGGGAAGCGGGAAGGAACACCCAGACTTCACCTGCTAGCTCACAGGCCAGGACCCCGCTCTAAACTGAGCAAAACCAGAAGTCTGCACTAACTAGCTGGGAATGTCACTGCCTGGTGAGAGGAGAGATATGTGGAGAGGAATTTGGGTGGGGGCACTCGGGGGAATGGAGAAAAACTTCCCAGGCCTCCAGCAACCCAAAATGAGTTCCCACCTATCCCAAGGACATGGAAGGGTGTGTGCCTGCGGGTCCCAGGAAACCTCCAACAAGGGTGACTGCAGGTCACACAAACACTCCAGGCAGCCAAATCCACTGACCTGGCCATCATAGCCACCTCCCAGATTTTCCCCTAGGCTTGCCTGGCCCCCAGCAGTGACTCTCCAACCTCAGTAGCCTCCACCCCTCCACCTCCTCACCACAACACACTTGCAGAGTGGAATCCCTCACCCAAGACCAGTGGAAAATTTCCTTCTCCTTTATGACTATACTTAAAACACACATACTCCATTCTTCACCTCTGAATCAACACAGGCCAAGGGCGGCTTCATGTCCCACCCCTGCCATGCAAACACACAGCAGGGACATTGGACCATGTGATTTAGGAGCTAGGGGGAAGAGAGCTTTTCCATCTTCCTCTCCACCTGGGGCCCTCCAAACACAAAGTGTCCCCAGCACTCCTGGAGCCCTCTGGACAGTGGGCTCTGACTCTTATCAAGGCTCTCAAATCAGCGAACAGTCTCTGAGACCATCATTGCAAATGATGAGACCCTTGGCATCTTTGTTCTTGGGGGGGGTACAAATCCATTGCTCACTCTCCCTCTTCATATACATTCAAGAAAGAAAAATAATAATAATAACATTCCTGTGAATTTTCACAGCTCTGTGCTAACTGATCCCCTAGTAACCTTAAGCCCACCATCAATACTCAGATGCAGGTCACCTAGGAAGGGGGGGGTCAAACCTACAGGTTTCTCTTGAGAGAGAGAGAGAGAGAGAGAGAGAGAGAGAGAGAGAGAGAGAGAGAGAGTTAGTTTTAACACCCCTGCCCTGGCCCTCTTTCCAGCCACCCAAACTTGGCAGGCGAGAAGCTCCATTAGCACTTGGTGGGAGAGCCTGAAGCTATGCTGGGTTGGATCTCAAGGAAAAGAATGAAGTTCAAGGGCGCAGGAGATAAGCAATCTCTGAAAGCTAGTTTTCTCTCGCAACTCCGCAGCCCCAGCCCGCCCTCACAAGCTTGCAACTTCTTGCAAAGAGTACTCGAGGTCCCAGCGCTTCAGTTAGAGTTCCAACTTTTCAAAACCTTCTTCGACTCTCCTCCTCCAGCTCTTTTCCCTTCATGAGTCAATGGGGAAATTTTCTAGGTGTCAAGCAGGGACCACTTGCCAGAGACCACTAGGATACTGCTAGGGTTCCCGCTGCAAAGCATCTCCTCTCACAGAGTCCCCGCCCAGGGAAACTGAGTCTGCCACTACAGCGTGAGGCTTGCTTAGGGCCTCCCAGAGCACTTACCGATATCGGAGTTGCAGAAGGCATCCTGGGGATGGCTGGGCGAACATGTGCACGCCTCTGCGCCCCAATGCCCAAGGCTCCAGCAGCCCAGGAGCACCGCAAGCCCAAGCCAGGGAGTCATCGTAGCTGCTGCGGTCCACTGCGGGGACTGCTACTCTTTTCTTCAAAGTTGCCGAATGCTAGCGCGGATACTACAGTCCGAGCTCACTCGCTGGGTCTGACCGTGCACGCTGGGCAACTTTGAGCTCCGGGAAAGTGCCCTCCAAATAGCTCGGCGGGATGGGGTGGGACTCGGCGAAGTGGCCTTGGGTGGCTGGAGCCGGAGTCCGCGGAACCAGCGAGTGGCTTCCGGGAGAAGGATCGGGAACCAGAGCGGAGAAGCAGAAGAAGCTTCCCGGAGCTGGCGGCTGCCCGCTGCCCAGTGTGTGCAGTGTTGAGAGCTGCAGAATGATATAGGGGCTCAAGGGGAACCCAGCCCCTCGGGAGCTCGGGGCCCACCCCCTCCGACCAATAGCAGCGCTGCATTACCTCATCGGCCCTCCAAAAAGGGGGCGGAGCCGGGGGGCTCGGGGCGACAGGGCGGGGCCGGCCCCGACTGTTCAGATCCTTATAGGGAATAATGCGATTGTGGGCACTCGAGTGGGTGGGCTGGGCGCCTCCTGGGTCAGTGTGCGCTGCAAAGGCGCCCTATGGCCCCGTTGTCTTATGCCCACCGGCCCTCCGAACGCCTTCTGCCCAAACAAGTGTCCACTCCTAGCCACCCAGCCGGGCAGCACAATCCCTTCAAGAGACCTAGGTAGCCAGTGTCCTGTGGTCCTTGACCCTACCTCCTGGGAAAGAAAAAAGTCTAAAAGGAAGCCTCGAAGAAAATTTCACCTACCTACCTTCCCTAGAAAGAGCAGGGAGTAAGAGGAAACACTTGGGTAGATGACATTATCTTCTCATCAACACACACACACACACACACACACATGCGTGCGCCTACCTCTACCTTTTGGGACTGGCTATAGTAGTTGTCACTGGGGGTAGATGGAGCTGTGGAAATCATTCAACAACACTGTCCTGGACACCAGACAAAGCCCTTGCAACTAGGTGATTGTACTTGTGCTATGAGGAAACTAGAATAGTTGTAGACCTAGGTTAGAATGACAAAAAGGGTATTGCTCTCTGGAACTGTAAAAGAAGAGTTCTCTGAGATGACATTATGCTAGGAGACTAGCAAGTGGGAAGGCCTGGGTCTTCTTTGGAGGGCAGAATATAGAATAAACAGGGACTATGATAGCAGGGCTCACTGGTGGCAGACAGCAGTCCTTCCTTCACCAAGGAACTCTGAGGTAAAACTGTCCAAAAGTGGAATAAGACCAGGTCCCAGAAAAAACTATCCAGGACCCTGGATGACTAACTGTAACAGAAGATCATTGGTAATGTTGTTACCAGCAGTCTCTTGATTGTGATATGTGCATGTGTGGTATATACACACTATTGTTGTTCTGTCTTTTTGAGACACACAATCTCATTGCGTAGCCCAGGCTGACCTTGAACCCAAGACCCTCCTGTCTCAGCTATCCACTGCTAGTTACAAATATGAGGCACCACACCTGACCTATGCTGTATGTTTGTAAAAGCAGGATTCCATACTCTATTCTTTCTAGTTAGAAAAGGCAAGAACAGGTGTCACATGTACCGCCAGCTAAGGAAACAGGCCCAGAAAGGGGATGCTCCTGTCACAGTCTCTCACTGACTCTTCTTACCAAAAGAGGCAGATGCCCTGGACTCAGCAGCATTCCATCTAACTTATAGGGCTCTTACAGAACTCTCTTCCTTTCTCTCCCGCCTTATGCTGTGTCTGGTTTTCAAGGACATTTGTGTTTCCTACAGAAATGCTGAAAACTTATAAGAAAAAAGGCAAATGTAAGGGAACACCTTGGATTATCCCCAAGAGAGGAGACTGTTTTTAATGGCAGGAGTAGAGAGTATTATGATAACATTATTTCCGATTGCACTGACTTTGTCAGGTTGAGGGAACACCTTGGATTATCCCCAAGAGAGGAGACTGTTTTTAATGGCAGGAGTAGAGAGTATTATGATAACATTATTTCCGATTGCACTGACTTTGTCAGGTTGTTTTGTGTCTTTTATCGGTGTTGGTGCTGTTGTTATTTTGTGATAGTCTTATTATATATGTAGCCTGTGCTGGCCTTGAGCTCTCAATCCTCCTGCCTCAGCCTCCAGAATGCTGTAAACTCCCAGCTTCCACATCTTTCTGCCTTATCCCCACACAGCTCTAAAGCCCCTCCCTCCTTAATTCTGTTCCCTGGTGCTGTGGACCAGGCATTGCTCTTCTAGCTCTTCTCCTGGAATATGGTTGCATTATTTCCCTGACACTTGGAGGCCTGAGCTCTTTGGCCACAATGCTTTTTTAATCCTCAGAAGGTCCCAAGAGACTTGAGTGTAGATATATAACCAGTAACCACTTGAGGCCTGAGCCTTGGGCACCACATGGGGCCATTCAGAGGAAATAGGTTGAATGAGGACATACTTGGTGGGATTTAAGAGACTCGCTGAACCTTGCACAGTGCCAGTCATGTGGAAGGCTTTAGAAGGGCTTGTAGACAAATCCACTTGGGATAAACTTCTTACAGGCTAGAAGCCCTCTCTTCCCTGCTTTCCTATTACAAGACCATTTTGTCCAAAGTGCCATTTGTTTTTCTTCCTAAGGAGAGCATTTTCTGGAACACAAGACAAGGGTCAAGCAGCCACTTTGCTACATGTCACAGAGCAGATTCCTCAGAGAGGCCATCTGAAGTGTGTCTTGTTCTGGCAGCTACTTGCTGTGTGGGTGTCCTTGGATTGTTTTCCCTCCTGAAAGGTGCTAATGTGGGTTTATTTCCTTTTGATCCTTCTACTTTTGCTTTCCCAGAATTTGGGGGCTTCAGAGAACACAAGGAGAATTTTGGCCAGAAGTCTTCTCTTTTGCCTGGGCTAAGATGTTCATCACTGCCCAGCCCTGCAAGGTCAGCTTAGTCATGACCCTGGGAACAAGAGCCAGGTACTCTGTGAGTCCTAGTGTGGATCTTACAGCAGGTAGACCTTGCAATATCCCCTGGACATTAGGTTGTCTGTTTAGTGAACAAGATTGAGTGGACTTGGAGCTTGGGTAAGAGTGGAGATAATGGGTCTCCTTCTTTCTTCTGATAGCTGAAAACAATGGCAGATTTACAAATCTGGGGTAAGCTGAAGAAGCTTCAACCAACACCTGACTTGTCATCACACCTACCAGGCTCACCTAGTCTCTCTGTTGGAACAGTTCTAGGAAGCCGAGGGCATGCCCACTACCTGTGTATCAGGTTTCAGAGGGTAGAGCCTATAGAAGGTATTTGCTTAGACATCTAAAGATAACAGAGTCACTCAGACTGCTCATCTTCACCCAAGAAGCTTTGGGTGAAAGAACTTACCAGCATCCCACAGGCTATTGTGAGCACTGATTCCTTAGCTTCTATCTGCATCCCATCCACAGGGCTGTTGTCCAGGCTAGGACATGTGACAAATGTATTTCCACACCCCATACCCCGACTATACAAACAGATCCTTTTAAGCTGACCAGCATTTTATAGTACTATGTAACTAAGAGGGTATTGCCTGTTTGTGTTTCCCTTTCTGTCTTATTTTACCTTTGCAAACCTGTTACAGAAATGGCTGCTATATAGCCCAGTGAACAAGTCACTTCCCTTGTTCAGGTACAAATCTCCATGTTTATTGGATAAAAAATTAAACTGTATGATTCCCAGCAAGGTGCCCCCTAGTAATTTTTAAAAATGTCTATTATTCCCTGGGAGATTCTCAAAGATGAGGTAAATGGTGGTAAGGAAGATAGATCTCACCATGTGAGCAGGTTTAACACCAAACTAACATGCCCAAGACTGATTCCCTGCTCTCCTGTCCTACTCTGCCTTCCAAGACACAGGGCTTAAAACAAAGAATGCCAGTGCAGGCTGTGAGGATAACAGGGCAGAAGAATCTTGGGGTCTTGTTTCTGACGGAGCCTCTTGTAGTCACCAATTCATCTTTCTGTTTGTCTTTTGGGTTGGAAGCATTAAAGGGTCGGGAACAAAATTTACTGGTCTCTCATGTCCTCCCAGTCTCAATTTAGATATTACCTCCTTAGCATAGCCTCTTCATTCGCCTCTTCAAGATTCCTTACCGCATCTTGTAGCTGACTCACCTGAGCAGCTTCTTCCTGAAGTGTAAGCCCATAGGATAGCATATTGACTACAGGGTTCATTTCCATTATGGTCTCTTGGATCCAAAGGTCGGTACTAGTCCTGCTGCCCAGTGTTGGGCTTGAAGGTGGCCGCTCCTCTGAGGGGCTCATCGAGCCTATCCCTCTGGCTAATGCCAGGGGGCGCTGTAAGCCAGAAAACACTGGTTCTCTGAACCTTTAGCCTGCGAGACTCTTTGAGAAGACAAGAGAGGGACAAGTCCACACCAGGTAGTGGGGTGCGGGTGCCAGAGTGGGCAAAGCGAACTTTTCCCGTCTGATACCTACAATGCTCCCAGTCAACATCGCGTCTGGTTCCACAGCTGCCCAGAGCTCTTCCACTCCTGGCTGAGGCTTACTTGGGAAGTGACACACTTGTAAATCGCTGATTTGGGGGCCATAGGGAGGTCTGGGAACACAGCAAACTTTGCCACAGTCCACTATTCCAAGTGGCACTCTGGAAGTTCAACCCGGAGAAGGTGCTGACAAACCTAAGTCACGATCACTGCCACATAAGAAAGCACCTTAGCTTCCCCATCCCCCAGACCCTAACCACAATGCCTTTCCCCAAACCCACAGTCCATGTGAAAGTCATTACATTCAAAATAGCCTTTTCCGAGCAACAGACAGCCTGGTCCACCCATCACCAGGAGCCCTAGCCAGACCCTCAGCAGAGTGGGGCAATTAGGAGCCTAAGAAGGTGGGTACTTCAGGTTCACTCTGTGCCTGGTACCAGCAGGGAGTAAACACCTTTCGCGGCTTCCATCTGGAACCAATTTCATGGCAGTAAAACTGTAGGGCGTTTCTCACCCCAGCTCCCCCACCCCTAGCCCTGCCAGGGACATGAAGACCCCTCTGTACGGTCTCTGGCTGTGTTCACGTGAATGCTGAGGTTTTCACATTTCTTTCCATAGACAGCTATTCCCAGGAATTTTAAGCCAGAGAACACATGTGTGTGGTAGAGACATTTTGTGTCCTGTGTTTTCTGGGGTGGTGGGAAATGGGAAGTAGAGTTAAATAGTCCAATTCTTGGTTTTCATTTAATGGTTGTATGTTCAGGCAGCCAGTTATTTCTGTAAAGGATAATGTGAGATGCTGGAGAGCTTCCCCGCAAGCCTGGTTTAATGTGTTCCTTATGCCCTTGGGGTTCCTGCACTTTGCCTTTAACAATGAGGAGTTAGC